CACTAAATAACATAAAAAAAATAGCCAAAGAAGAGAAAGAGCAAAAAGTCCAATTTCTCGAAACTAAAATCAAACAGTTAAATCTAAAAGAAACCCTTAGAGAAAAACTTGACTCAGAAATAAAAAAAATTAAAAGAATAGAAACATTCTCTACTTGGTTTAACGATAGTTGTGCCTTAGTCATCAACAAAGAAAAAACTCTTTCTCAAAAAAGCATCTATAACCTTTGAGTAGTCATTTGCGAACTACCTTTTGGTAAGGTTAAAGAAAAAATTAATCACTTTAAAGTTGTCAAAGAAATAACTCCTATTAAAGAAAACTGAGTAAAAATACTTGAAAGTTTTCAAAAAGACTTAAATAGTGATTATCCTGCTGCCGAAATACTTAATAATATTTACACCACCGACTTACCTTCACTAACTCAAAATTATGAAAACATAGCAAAAAGCAAGATAAGGGTACCTTCTCAATCTAATCTCGATGACTATATCAAACCATTAGATATTGTTAGAGTGGATAGAAAAGGAGGCGCTTATCAACATGTGGCTATTTATTTAGGAAATAGAAAGGTTGTCCACATTAATAATCCATTGGGTAAAGGTAGTTCTTGGGTTCGGATTGATAATTGAGAAGTTTTTTTAGGAAATGAGGCTGAAATAGAAGTTCATCATCCTTTTATTCCTTTCAAAAGACTGGAACTAACAAGAAAGCATATTGAGATAGCAGAGAAGGCTAGATATGGTGAAGGTAAGTATAATTTAATAAGTAGTAATTGTGAACATTTTGCCACTTTATGTATTTATGGATTAGGTATTTGTCAACAGAAGAATATTAATACAGTTAATAAAGTAGTGAAGAATTCTAATTACTTATTGCAAGCTATCCAGGAAAGTAATCAATTTTTTGAAAACCTAGAAAAAGAGCAACAACCCCAAATCCAAATCCACCCCAAGTAAAAATATGACTAAAAACCAACCAATAAGCCCACCCAAAAATAAAATCAAACTTTTTGAGGCCTTTCCTTCTGACGAACTCTACATTATCCATAATGACCTTCGAAAATATCACAACAAATGAGATAAAGACCAAGTGA